CGCCGCCTGACCCCCGCCTTACCCGGGCCCCGCGGCCGCTGAGCGGAGGGTGCTGCCGCCTTGGCCGGCCGCTTTCCGGCAGGCAGGAGCTCGGGGGCGGAGGGGGACAAACGGGAGGGCGCTGCCCTCTCTCGCTGTGGATGGTGCTGCCTGGCGGGAGAGAAGGAATGAGTGCTGGAGTCTGACTTCTGATGCCGGTGCTGTTTAGACATTTTGCGTTACAGGGGTTTTGCATAAAACAGCTAGCAAGCGAAGGCAGGAACCTCCCAAACTTAAGGTGTTTTTGCTGAATGCTTTTTTCTTCCATCCTCTGTCACTTCCCTGGGGCTCCAACTAATTAACCTTCTATAGCTGTGCCTGAGTGTTTCAGCTTTCCTTGTCTCTAATTGGATGTTTCTGAAACCTCAACGATATGCACACCCTTTCCCTTTTTGGATATAACACACAACGTGTGTATAACATTGCAATCATCAGGGCTGAAAAATCTCTTACTACCCACAACTGACAAGGAGAAAACTTTCTGCAGTTTTTCACTCTAGAAAGTCTTAAGAACACGGTTCCACAGTGAACCTAAGAGTGGGCTACCCCAATCCTAACGCAGCTTTAGCCCCTAAAGCCGTCGTACAGTTGCACCTCAGTCAGCAGAACCGGCCTCCATACTGCTGTGGAGGGGCTAGTGAAAGAAGTGGGAGCAGGTATCTGAGCCACAGTGAGGGTGGCGTGAGTACTGCAGGCTAGATGACATTTAAACCAATGTGAAGCCGCATCCAAAATTCTCATTTATGGAGGTTCTCGCTAAAAGTCTAACTTTTTCATCTACCTGTTCATTGAGAGGTCTAGTAAATCAACTTAGTTGAGGAATTCTGGAAAAACAAGGAAGAGTGAAGAAAAGCTCAAAAAATGGTTTGTATTTTGACAAGTTGTTAAGAATATTACAAAAAATGACGGTCCGCAAGGTAGACTCTCATATAAGAGTCTAACTGTTGGAAGAGGATAAGGTAAGTCTAGAAAAGTGAGTTGCAAAATGCTAAAATACCTGGCAATTTTATTCCTAAAATTATTGAGAGTAATACCACCAGGAAAGTTTTAAGTATGTTTTCTTCTACAGCCCACAGCAGATGATACTCGTTTTCTCCCTGCTTTTCTTCTTTCACATCCCATTTTACCTATCTGAAATCCTCCTCTTGACTGCAAACAGGGTGACCCACATGGCAGACTGCAAGCTGCAGCCAGCCCACCACCTTTTCTGCTGTAGAGGCATGAGGAAGAAGATCTGCATGCTGCCTTTTTCTCTGAGTGCCTCCTACCTGCACTTGTTTGAGCTGCTGTTTCTGTAGAGTAAGAGAGTTCAAAGCTGTAAGCTTCAGGCAGGCTCAGCAGCTGACCTTGGGTACAGGCAAGAAGTTTAAGCTGCCCTTGTTATCTATCCATGTGGCCTGTTCAAAAGGCCCTAAAAATGATGTTTACCACATGGCACTGAAAATGTTAACCCACCCTTCCGTAGTGACATCAGAGTTAAAGATAAGCAAAGTAATCACAGCCATTAATCACAACTCGATTAGCCTTAAAGAAAGAAGGCAGCTCCTTACCATTCCTTTCCTAAGTGCTAAATAATTACATCTTTTCTACAGCTGCTGTGGAGGGCTTTTATGTACGTTATAGAATTTCTTTTTAGGGGGAAAATAGACTCATAATTTAAGCCCAAAGTACATTACATAAAACAAATAAGTACTATTTTAGTTTGCAATTGATAATAAGAAGGTTATAAATAATGAGGAGACTAAGGGCCTGTCCAGGCCTGCTGAGTACTGCTCTGTATTGTGAGCTTTGCAGGAGAAACACGGGTGTGCACTTACTGCAGGGTGCCTTGCACCATGCAGTGCTACTGCACATTAGCTTTTGTAATTTGGCAGAAGAAACTTTTCATCTCTCTGTTAGATTGTAGGGCACACGTTTACTAGCAGTGCCTGAATGCACACTGTATGCAAACTTTTTATCCCCCAAGAAATGTGCCTCGTATTTATTGTCATCACCTAAGTCTGACAGCACTGGACAAGCTTGTGGGTCAAGTGAAGTACATCTTTACTGTAGGTAGGCAACAACTACAATTACAAGGCTGAAAAAAGATAACCAAAACAAAATAAAAATGTACACCACAATTACAGGTTATGTTTAAAAGGAAGATCCCTTCTTAGCTGCCTTTCCCCTCCTTCAGGCTTCCATGTCTTTAACGTATATCCCAGGAGTCTGGATGAGGGTGCAAGCTGTAGAGCAACACCTGATCCTCAAATTCCACTCCCCAGAGAGATCCTAGGTCTAGTCTGAACCGTAAGCCTGGTTGCTGTAAAGTGTTAGTTTATAGATGAATCGTTTCTGAATTTAGCTCACCACACAGCTGCACATTCATGCACAGTATAAGCACTGATGGAAGGGAGTGCTAGTTACTAGATGATGGGGGTGTACTGGATTGTGTCTTTTGAGGCCCACACAAATGTATGCTGGCCTGAAAGGCTGGTGGTGTGGCTACCTCCAGGGCATTTCAGCTCCAGGCAACTCTCTCCAAGTTATCTTTTCTTATTTTAAATGATTTCTTTATCTTCTTGCTCTTTCTCTTTATTTCTGTCTCCCCCCACTTCCCTTCTGTTCCTATTTTAAGTCTGTCTTCCTGGATTTTCTCCAGTAGCTTTGCAGCTTTGATGACTCACATCTCTTGGTTTGGGGTTGCTACCAGTGCATCCTTTGGGATGCTGAGTTCCCCTCCCCTCTCACCTCCTCAGCAGGAAGTCTATTGTATGCAGCTTTAATTTCTTCCTTCTCTGAACAGATAATACTCATTGTAAAATCCTGAGCTGACTTTGTCATGTTTCACGTTATTGCATCATAAAATGCATGAGTTAGGAAACAATTTCATTTAGCTTATGATTTTGGCCCTGGTTTTAATGTTTTACAGAGACCAGAACTCTTTATTTAAACTTCTCAACTCTCTGTGAATTTTTAGTCACTTTAGTGTCACAAAAAGATGAGTGCTTTTCGTTATGATGAGATCATAAAAACATTAGAACAGCTGTACAGGGCCAGACCAGAGGTCTGCCTCCCCACTTCCCCCCTGCCCCCTGTATCCTGCCTCCATCTGTAGCCAAAAGTCAATGCCTAGGGAGGGGAGTAGGGATAGAACAGCACATAGGGATTCTTCTCTGAATATTTGCCCAGCCTCTGGGAATATAACCCTCAGAGGGTAGGGGGGGGGGG